TATAGATAAGACTTCAGGATACTGTTTGTTTAGTCTAGTTATATAACCACCCACTCTACATAAGACTGCCAGAAATCAAGGTTTTACTGTATTTTCGCTGGTGACGTGGATGAAAGAGTGGAGGGAACACTTATCAGATTTGCAAACGACGCAAAGTTGGAAATGATTTCGTAGTAACAATTGATTTATTGTATCAGGAGTGATGCATCTGCAAAAATGAGATATGCATTTTTTTAGAGTGGATGAACAGAAAAATGATTTTTAAATCATGGGAAGTGTATATTGCACTTTATTTTGCTTTCAGCGGAATCCTCCTTGTGTATTGTATCCAATTTGGGGACCACACTGTAAGATGATTTCAGAAAAAAAATTAACTATTTCAGAGAAAGACAATTAGGAGACTAAAAATTAAGTCCTATGAAACCAGACGGAGAGAATAAGGTATGTTTTCTCTTGAAAAAAAGACTGAGGGGAGATATTGCATTTTTGAACAATTGGAAAGAATGTCACATAGAAGAGATAGATCTGTTCCCTTTCATTCCAGAATGCAGGACACAGTTATAGATTTAAATTGCAGAGAGAGAGAGATTCTGATTAAATATTAGGAGAAAAGAACTTCTAACAGTAAGAGAATGGAATTGCTCTTAATGAAAAAACAGTTTGTGCAAATGTTCAGGCAGGGACTAGATAGCTACTGTTTGGGGTGCTACACATAATTGGATTACTGCACCTAACAGGAGTGAACTGGTGGCTTAAATCGTGCATCTCTTCCTACTCTATGATTCTATGACTGTAAACACAAATATGCTCCCAACAATGCAAGTAGTCATCACTTACCAACCACTTTTTCAGCGACCATTCAAAGCTAGGACAACACTGAAAATTGAGACTTACAACTGGTCCTCAAAGTTGCAGCTATCACAGCATCCCCATGATCACATGGTTACAATTTGGGGACTTGGCAACTGGCATGTGTTTACAATGTTTGCAGTGGGCCACGCTCACAAGATTGCCATTAGTTACCTTCATAACCAGCTTCCCACAAGCAGAGTTGATGGGGAAACTGACAAGGAGTTGCAAGTTGTGATTACCTGACAGCCAGAAGTCATTGTTAATCAGCCTAGTCATGTGACATTTCACTGTATGATCATACTGATTAGTGACGGAGTTGCTGGTTCCAATTACAGTCAGTAAGTGAGGACTACCTGCAGTCATTTTTCTTCTGCTCAGAAAATTGACAGAGCTGTTGACTTCAATCACATGTCTCTTCTACATGAAGAGCCATTATCTTCACACACAACTCCACACCCCTCCATACCTTTATATGACAAATGAATGGACATTTGTGTTTGCCAGTATTTCAGGGTAGTGTGGGGAGGGGGGCAGAGTCTTAGGAAAAATAGAAAAGAGATATATGCAGTCATTTCTAAATGACTGTGGCTTGCAAGTTGAGTCACTGCAGTTCAAACATTCCAGAAGGTCAAAAGCCAAACCACATACTGCTCCCTGCATAATGCAGCAGCTGGTACATGTTCAAGGGTGAAATTCCAATTGGAACATGCTATAACATTTCTGAGTAAATATTTATGCTCAGGAAGTTTAAAAAGCTTGGGGTATTAGGAATTCTGGTCTTATTAATAGGAAAGCTGCCACTGAAGTCTTTTCACCGCGACCTGCCAGTGACCTCCATTTTCAAGTCTCAAGACAGTTGTGTTCAGAAGAGACAATTAGAGTGAATCATGGGCCAATGTACGATATTAGAGTAGTACTTCAAACAAAGGAGATGTTTTTAAAGCTTAATCATATGCCATGGAATCATTCTTGATCCTTAAGACATTGTTGGATCCTCTTTCCTGCCATCACTCTGCCCACCTGCCACATTTCAAAGATGGCAAAAATTCTTTAAGAAAGTATGTATTATTTTTTTTCGTATCAACTGCGACATGCTTTGTTTGCAGAATGACAAAGCTTCTGAAATGAGGGTCTGAAGTTTAATTTGCTAAAAGGAGTTGTGGAAATGGAACATATTGGGAAGCCAAGTTTATGTGTTCCGTCTTTAACTATCAATCATGGGCACTCTGCAATGAAATCATGTATTGCCGAGATATTACTTACTGTAGATATTAACAACAGCATGGGGGAATTTGAGTGTCCCATCATTATTTTTCTAAATTTCCTCACTGTAGGGAAATTTCTTGCTAGATTAAGAGTTATCAGCTGTCCTACTACACATTAATAAACTTTTGCTTTGATAAAAAAACCTATGGAGTAATTTAGTAATTGTTTCATATTTCTTGACAATCATACTGACCAATGCAACTTACGGATCAGATATCAGATATATTGAACAGCATCATATTTCATGGCAAGTGACTATGTTCTTGAGTCAGGTCAAGATATGCATAAAGAAAAAATATTATGTATTTATATTGCCCCTATAGCAGGGGTAGGCAACCTTGGCTCTTTTATGACTCGTGGACTTCAACTCCCAGAATTCCTGAGCCAGCATAGCTGCCCTAGAGGCATGTTCCATTTAATTTCCTTAAACCCAAGGTGTTATAAAATCCTTAAACTATATTATGTAAATTGATTGAAACAAAATTAGAATAAGGTAATTTTGGGAAGAAAAATAATTTTAAATTCTGATGATCAGAAACTTGTGAAGAATGATTCTTTCTTCTCATTCTAAATTTGAGTTATCCTTGTTTTCCTCATGGAAAATATTGTTACTTTGGGCCAAAAGGAAAAAAAAAACATGGCTTCTGATTATCTGACAAATTTTCTTACTATACTTGTGTTTTCAAAAGAAGGTATGAGTCAAATAAATAAAATTACATATTTAGCTACCTGTGTTTCTTTCAATTATTTTGATCTCAAAGGCATGCTTGTGCCTCTGTGTTCCGTCCAGTTCTTAAGCTGCTTGTCCAGTACTTAATGCACAATTTTTTGTCATCAAGCAAAAATCTTGTTGTTCCCAGAATATTATTTAAATCTTGCAACTTAATTGTTCTAATCTTCCCCTATTACTAGTTTTTAATTATGTTTTCTTCTTTTATACTATAATGTCCGAGTCTTGATTTTCTGAGCTATGTGTGTGGTGATGGGGAGGACAGTTACTGGAAGGGTAGTATGTAAATATCTAGCATTCTGGAAGCTTAAAAAACTGTTTTTTCCTCCAGGCATTGGGCCAGGAAGATAGATAAGCTCATCTTCTGACAGGTGGAGGGTAGGTTTGATGGACCCCAGCTGTATGTTGTCTAATATGTTAGTTATGGAATTTGTTTCTTTTGTATTTGAATGTGTTTTTTTAAATTGCGATCATTTTTTCTGTTTTGTTTTTACTTGAGTTACACTATCCAGTTGCAATTCCAAGAGGTGAACAATTAAGTAAATCTTCTAAATCAGAGGTCCCCAATCTTTGGGGCACCAGGGACCGGTGCCATGGAGAGAGGTTTTTTTTCCCCATGGACCAGAGTGCTTCGTTTTGTGAGCTGCCTGCATCTCACAGATGGGGCTTTGCTTGTTTATGTGGACTGGTTGCTGGCATGCCACGGCCCGGTACTGGTCCATGGACCGGGGACCCCTGTTCTAAATGCTAAAATGAAGACCATTTCTGCAGTTGCACTTTCTATGTCTATACTCTCATCAGAAATCCTCAAATCTTGAGTAATGACTTCTGCAAGTTTGCAAAGCTGAGAAGGACAGACCTACTCTGCCTAACTGCAAGGATCCTTTTTAACCCCTCACACCCAAAGATATACAATAATATCACTCATTGGAAAAAAATAATACATCAATAACAACAGAGCTCATCTGCCCACTTGACCCAAATGCCGGGAGAAACAGACAGATCTAACAAGGCCGTCTGAATCTCCCATGGCATACCCGTCTTAGATGGCAAGTGCTAAGAAGGTATTACTCTGGGGTCCAGCAAGATGGGATTGTGTGATCGAAGATCTGGTGGAGTGATAGAAATTGATGCTGGACTGGACCATGTCTGAGATATAGGAGCAGGGTTGCTCTTCAACCCATTGTTACCTGTGGGGTCCTTGGTGCTCTCTGAGTATGCTGGTTTTCTTGCAGACTTTTCATTACCAAACTAGGTAACATTAGTGTTTATTGTTGTATCATTGTTACCTTGCAAGAAACAGCCCTTAGAACAAGGGAAACATGACGCCATCCAAGAGTGCCTTGATCCCAGCCAAATTTCCTCCAGTGGAACTTAGGGGTGAATTGGGGGCTGCTGCAAGAGCATTTGCTGCTTTGACTACAGTTCAGCTTTGGAATATAAGCCTTTCTTGTTGGATGACTGCCAGACCAGACTCATTCCTGGCTGGACAACCAATGGCATTGTGATTCATAGAACGAAGGACGAGAAAGTCACACAAATATATGTATTTATTTGGGAATCAGGGCATTATAAACTTGGGGAATGCCTGCTTTACATATATAAGAAAAAATAAACGGTATATTTTTTTCCAACAAACCATAGCAATGTCAATATTCAGGACATTCCAGTTACTCAATTATAGTTACACTGTAAGACTTTGGGGAAATGTTCTGAAAGATGATGAATTAGAAAGTTATGGGTGGGTACTGGAAAAAGTTGGGATAGTGACAATTTCTCCATGTATTCATCAGAGATTGAGCCAACTGCCATTGAACTAATTGCATAGCTCCCATTTAGATTAGGAGTTGGCAACTATGATATCTTTATAACCTGTGGACTTCAACTCCCAGAATTCTGGAAGTTGAAGTCCATAGGTTGTAGACACCCTAGCTGCCCATCTTGATCTATATTGTAGACATTCTCTGTCAAAAGACTTTCTCATATAAACATTAGTATCTTGCTGTTCTTCCTAAAAACATTATTATATGAGGGGTTTTTTGGGTTAATATCACCAATTATTTTTGCAACTAATATTGCTTAGCATGTTTATGTCTTGCCAGTACTGCATTAAAGAGTACTTATTTTAAAAGGCAATTTATATATTTTTTATAACAAGATTATTTTTCAATCTGAGGAACTCATTAATAAAAGTTTTAATCCACAGACGGCTTATGCCTTATTTGGATTTGTTCAGTGCCAGTTCATTTCTTTTCTTGGCATGCCGTCTCTGAACCTTCCGAGCACGGGACCCAAATCCTAGGGTTTGAAGTGACTCTGTTATGTACTTCTGGCTTGGAGAGACACACAATATCACCAGCAACTTTGCATCACCACCTAAAAAGAATTAGAAAGATATACATGTTAACTGATTCAATTGCCCCAATGCCAAACCTTGACTCCAGAAAGCTTGGACATAAATACTATAAGAAGAAAACCTCTAGTAAAGCACGTTTGAATCATTCCTGTCTGAGTAAGAAATGCAGAGTGCTTAGGAATTAGTGTTGTAAAGGAAAGTTTACAACTGCTCTTAAATAAATTTAGTTGCCATGAGATAGGATAATAATGTGTGTCTGTATGGATGATTAATAAAGCAAAGCAAAGTCTAGGAATAAAGGGACCATTTTTTTCAATGGAGGGTGTAAGAAGTGGAGTCCCTGAAGTGCCTGTGTTGAAACAAGTGGTTTTTAACTTGTTCCTAATGATCTTGATCTGGATAAGTACCAAGCATCTCAAGTGTGCAAATAATAACAAATGGTGGGGAAAACCAAAAATGTTTGTGAAGAGCTCCAGAAGGAACTTTTCAAGTGGCTAAACATCAACCAATAGACAATATTCAACCAAAAATAATTAAGGCATTCAAATACCCTCAGTATGAGAAACCATTAGAACACTTGGAACTCTTTATCAAGAAAAAGGAAAAGGGGAGTGGGGATGACTAGGTATATAAAATCATTGACAATGTGGAGAAAATGACCAGAGAGACATTTTTTTTCCTTTGCTGAAAACTCTACAACTGGGAATGATCCAAAGAAGTTGCCTGAAAGGTTTAGAATAGTACAGTTTCATATCGTGCATAATTATCACAATACACTGCTAACTTGGCAGACTGGATACATTTATGGACACATCTGTCAAGAGCCACTGGTCTAAAGAATTCAATATTCTTCCTGACTGATGGCAGTATCCCTGCATATACCAGTTGTAGGGGAGAATAGGAATGGAGTATTTATTTATTTATTTATTTATTTATTTGTATTCCAGCTGCCTTATTTTTTTTACAAAGAACTCAAGGTGACGGACATATCCAACACATCTTTCTCCTCCTATTTTCCCCACAGCAACTGCCCTGTGAGCTGAGTTGGACTGAGAGAAAGTGACTGACCCAAGCTGGCTTTTAGACTAAGGCAGGACTGGAACTCATGGTCTCCTGCTTTCTAGCCTGGTTCCTTAGCCACTAGACCAAGCTGGCTCTCATCTACATTTGCTTGTGAGCAGTCCAGAGACATCTGTTATGGCCATTGTGAGAAACACAACAATGGATTCAGATGAGCCTTGGTCTGATCCAGAAGGGCTATTCTTTCATTCTGGTAACCATCTCATTTTACAATATGCATGTGACATAGTCAAATAGTAGGAATCTTGCTAGAAAAATAAAAAAATGAACAGCTAGACAATCTAGTATCTCTCCTTGCTTAAAATAAGGATTTAGCATCCTGTGGTTAAAGTCACATTTGCTTCTTGAAATCACACTTCTGTATCAACTATACATTTGAAAATTGGTATAGAAATACTAATTAATTGTATTAATAAGAGGTATATAAATAAGTATAAGTATTACATTGTACCAAGCTATACTCACCTATGGCATCCTGTAGCAAATGTGTAAGTTTGCTATTTCGATATGGAATGTGAGAGTTCTGTTCTGATAGGGCTCCAAGTACATCTGCTAGAGCAGACAAGCTGCGATTAATGAAGGAGGTCTCTCTCAACAGTGACCCAGTTACACCAGACATACCTAGTACAATAATCACAAAAAAACCCCACACCTGAACATAAAAGTAAATGTTTTGCATAATTTCATACTTCTAGTTCCTGCATATGCCACATTTGAGTTTTGCTGGACAAAAAGTTGGAGAATTCTTGAGAATACTGTGGGCAGCCAAGAAAACAAACATACATACCACTGAACAAAACAAGCCAGCGCTCTCACTCGAGGTACAAATAACCAGGTTCAAACTATCTATTCTGGACATATTATGAGAAGACCTAGATCTCCACTGCTGGGAAAAGTGGAAGGAAAGAGAAGATGATGATCAAGGTGGATAGATTCAGTTTTAGTAGTGATGAGTGCACCATTGGAAGAACTGAAGGACCAGGTTAGGGACAAATCATCATGGAGAAAGTCTATCTATGTGATGGTTAAGAGTCCACAATGGCACAACAACGTATAAACAAGCAATGAACAAGAAATGAATACAACTGAAGAAAACGTGTAGCAGGAAATACTAAAAACTATAAATAAACTTATTGATTTATACTTTGGCTTTACACAAGGTTGAAGAAGTAAACATATAATCCATACCATCAGAATAGAGAAGCACTTTCAGGGCCCTGTTAAAATCTATGAGATGAGTTGCTTCAACTTTTCTAAGGCAGATGCCCTTTCTATGGGACTTCAACTCCCAGAAGTCCTAGACATCAATGACTATGTTGCTTAATATGTGCTAATTGTAGTCTGAGAAGTGTAATGTCATATTTAAAGAGAACCAGATTAGTACAAGATTAATCTAAGTAATAAAAGATATATAGACTTAATGCAAGGGATCCATGCAAAGCTTACAAGTGCAACAACCTTTCTCTTCACTTTGGAATTGAATTGTTTTTGATGAAAAAAGACATTTTTTTTAACACAGTCCACTTTAAAACATGCTTGAGATATATAGATACCAATATAAAGAAAAGGTAATATAAATAATGATTAGAAGGCACTTTGCTGGTAAGGTAACACTATTAAATTGTGAGGGATTGTACAAACCTAAAATAAGCACAGATTATTTTTTTTATATTTTTTTGCATAGAAGTTCAAGTCTCATTATTTTTAAGGCAGTATTTAT